CAAACGTTGATCCTGAGAAAGTCGCCTGAAAACGAGAAGGTGACACGGCTGGAAGCATGTTTGGATACAGGGTGAATCTGGAGAATGCCTGATCCAACATGTTTTGCATTAGATTTTGTTGTTCACGCAACATGTTCGTTTGTTGCTCACGCAACATATTCTGCATAACCAAAGTATGCTGGTTGTTCATTTGTTGAACATAAGACAACCAATCGGTAGGTGGTGGAGGAATCTCCCCTGGATTTGGCATGACTGGTGGTGAAACATTCTCTCCCACCGGTGCTGATGATATTTGAGGTTGTGTGCCTACCATATTGATTTTTCTGATGATTCGGCCAGACCTCAGTTGTATGACATTTTGTATTGATGTAGGATCAGCAATCTTGCCTTTCTCCCACTGTGGTCGCCAATTTGTTGATGTAGGATCAGCAATCTTGTCTTTCTCCCACTGTGGTCGCCAATTTGTTGATGTAATTTTTCAACAAAAATAAAGTAAAATTCAAAGATATAGAAAATATCCTTAAACTTGATTAATTAGTGCCTGAGATTAGGAATCTCTAAACACTGTACGGTACAGAAAATAAACTGGAAAATAAAAGACTGAAATTTAAAGTGGTGATCCCCAAATCTGACTTTGCTTTGTTGAAGTTGATTGAAGATACCTTGCCAAATGATGATCCAAACCTTTAAATATTCTCTGGAAAACCGTACTGAAAACCGTCACCCGAACGGTTACAACGTCTCCTTCCCAACCGTCTTCCAACCCTTTTCATGCTGACATGTGTCCCCAGCAGACCAAAATTATCCCTATATTTCATTCTTCGAGCCGACCACAGACCTTCCGCTCTTTTGGCCCGACTTCGTCCTTCGCCCGTCCTGCTTCTTCGCCCGACCTCACTTGGGCCGACCTCCGCATCAGCCGCCCTCTGTCTTCGATCAAAGACCTCCGCGTCTGTCCGTACCTCTTCCTTGCCCGACCTTCCTCTTGACAGACCTCCGCGTCTGCCCGACTTCGTCTTCTATCCGATCTACGGTTTACCCGACCTGCGGACTTCCCATCCTGATGACTTTCCGTCTTGAGGATCTCCCGACCTGAAGACCTTCCGACCTGAGGTCTTTCCGTCCTGAGAACCTTCCGTCTTGAGGACCTCCCGACCTGAAAACCTTCCGACCTGAGGTCTTTCCGTCTTGGGGACCTACCGTCCTGAGGACTTACCGACCTGAGGTCCTTCCGTCTTGAGGACCTACCGTCCTGAGGACTTACCGACCTGAGGTCCTTCCGTCCTGAGGACCTTCCGTCTTGAGGACCTCCCGACCTGAAAACCTTCCGACCTGAGGTCTTTCCGTCTTGAGGACCTACCGTCCTGAGGACTTACCGACCTGAGGTCCTTCCGTCTTGAGGACCTTCCATCTTGTATTTTCCTTAGAAATAAATCTATTTTCCTTGATTTCCTCACGGCGTCCTTCAGCCAGTTCAATCAACTCTATTGCCAGGCCCATTCTTCTTTTTACCTTGGGCTTTTAACCTAATTCTAAATTTCGTACGTAACAGATATATATATTAAAACATACAAACACACCTTTAAAGATAAACCCAACTAAACATACATTTCCTCTGTCCGCAAAAGTTATATCATCATTTTCTTCAATTCTTTTTTTTTTTTTTTTTTGGCATTTTTTAAATTTATGAACAATCCATTTAGAGTAATAACTAATTGCCACATTTTTTCTGCTATGTTTTATTTTTTTATCAATTATTTAATAAATTTTTTATAATAATTCTGTAACACTCCCAGTTGGCTCATACTGGAAATGTTACCGCCACACTGCATCATGAGGTCGTCATCTCCTACTTCGGACCCCACAATACAGTGTTAAGGCTAAAATTAACCATAAAAGTACATTATTATATAACAAAATCTGATTTATAAATATTTACAAATACACTCCTAAACAAGAGGTTTTTCCGGTTAAAAATTTACACATAATACAATAGATATAAGTTCACTCACTCAGCCCGTCTTTCTATATCCCGAGACGTCCCTTGTCCCGGAGATGCCATGCATACCTGAAACAAATATTTTTCTTAAAAGCAGTCTAGAATTAAATCCATTTTAAGAACTAACGTGAAATATGTCATTTCATACCTTTTAAAATAAAGTCTAATTCCCGTCAATCATAAAATACATGTCATGTCATGCCAATAGTGAAATGATGCAACAATGATATCAAACTCGACAACAATGCACATGCGCATATATATATCCGCCGAAGTAAGCAGCCGGAATAAATTTGGCTCCATAATAATAGGCTCACTGCATCTGTTTAAGTGAGCAACCGGAATAACCTCGATCCCGTAATAATAAGCTCACTAGACCATCATCAATAAATAGCCGGAAAATCCTCGGCTCAAGAAAGGACCTGATAAACTCATAATAATATAACGGTCATCTGGTCACTTCCATATACTCACCATACGACTCACACAATCAATACATGGATAGCCGAACGTTGTCGCCATTAACCACAAGACGCCCCATAGTCTGTGATAGCGAAGATAGGACCCCCACTGACTAGCCCTATCCCGTGTAATGTAGTAGAATCCGTGCAACCTGGAATCTCCCAAGGGAAACTCGGAAACTCTACTCCTCATCGCACGCTTTAACGGGATCACGTTTGGAGTTTGACATATGATCCTAAACTACCGGTAGACCTCACCAGTGGCCAGCCCAATGAGTGAAACAACACCGAACACGAATGATTAGACCAAATACGTCTCAACTACAATGGGTCTAATCCCTGAATGACCGTGCGACTAAGTCACCCAATTGTCCGACTACTATCGTCTACTATTGCCAAAGTATTACGGTACATCGGGGTCGAATATCCTAACCCCAGATGATGCCCTCGCTTAGGACTACCGCACTCGGCGACTAAACGATATATTCATAAAACATATCCGATAAACCGTGCAATATGTGTGCATCATGTCAAATAAGTGAATTTACCGAAAAGGACTGGTGAGACAACTCACCTATCCTCCTTTTTATAAATTCACCTACGCGATCAAATACGTATATCAAATATCATAAACCGTGAAGTCTCTCACATGTATATGCACATATATATATAAATATATACATGCACTGACAAAATTATTCACATAATATCACATTAACATATTAATCAGAATCACACGCAACAAGCATACCTAATTTCTTAAAATTAGATTTAATTCCTTACTATTTACCTCTTATCAACACTCCTTAGCTTTTGCAATTTCACCCAAATCTTCTCCAACATATACACTTCCCCATTATTTAATCAAATCAGATGAGCTATATGCTTGTTTATAGGAGCTACCTGCTTATTCAAAAGCTAATTTCTATAATTATCTTGTTGGATTTTAAACTTTTATATTTAGTAGAATACGATATTCTAGCTATAAAACTCTTATACTACATAATATTTATATCGCCCGATTATTAAGTAAAAATACTTAAAGATATGAATAAACAGGCATGTGCAGTACACTGTTATTTTCAATTCGGCTCGGATCGATACGAAATTCTCAGAATATAATGCTAGGATTACGAATAGGCTATTAGCTAAAGAAATTCGTCGATTAAATAGCCAAATAGCCAGTTATGAATTTTTTAAGAATTTCTAATTTAATATCTTCAATATCTAAATTCATATTAAAATACATAATTAAATTCAACGTATAATAAAGAATACAATACTAAAGTCAAAATTGAAATCAAACGGCTAAATCTTTTTCTTTCTTTCTTTTCTTTCTTCTTTTGCCTTCCTTTGCTTCGCAGGTAAAATTTATTTGTTTTATATATATATATATATAATTATATTATTATTATTATTATAATATATTATATTATATTATTATTTAACGTTATTATATATTATTATTATCCTTATATTATTATTATCCTTACCATCCTTATCATCATTATTATATTATTAATATATATATTATATTATTAATATATATATTATATTTTATATTTATCTTTACCTATATTTATCCGTTTAGCAGTCTTTTCAATCATAATAAATAAATAGAATACAAATAAAATTTATTCTAAAATATTAATTTCTTGATCCCAAAATATTATAAAAATATTTATTTGTTATAATAATATTATTTTATACACTCTAAAATCGGGGCATTACAATTCACTCCCCCTTAAAAAGATTTTGTCCCCGAAATCTAAACTCAAACGCATAACAACACTACTTAATTAAAAAAATGTGGGTATGCTTTGAACATCTCTTGTTCTAGTTCCCACATGGCCTCTTCCGCTCTATGCCGGGACCACATTTTTCACCATACGAATATCTCGGTTCCTCATGGATTGAACCTTTGTGTCCATGATCCAAAGAGGAATTTCCTCATACGAAAGATCCTCATTTAGCTCTAACTCATCCGGAGATAATATATGAGAATGATTTGCGACATACCTACGAAGCTGTGATACATGGAACATATTATGAATTCGTTCCATGGAATTAGAAAGTGCTAATTGATAAGTCCAATCCCCAACTCGATCGAGGATTTCATAGGGTCCAACATTACGTGGACTCAATTTTCCTTTAATTCCAAACCTTCTAATACTTTTCATTGAAGATACTTTCACCAGGACGAAATCTCCACTTTGAAATTGACCTTTACGTCAGGCTTTATCGGCATAACTTTTTTGGCGATCTTGAGCTATCTTCATCTTTTCCCTGATAACTCGAATCTTATTTTTTGATTCTTCGATCATTTCTGGACCTAATATCAGTCGATCACTCATGTCATCCCAACCTAAAGGAGTCCTGCATTTTCGTCCATAAAGAGCTTCAAATGGAGCCATTCTAATACTTGTTTGATAACTATTATTATATGAGAATTCCACTAAATACAAGTAGTCCTCCCAACTTCCTTGAAATTCTATTGCACAAGCTCTTAGCATATCTTCCAGAATACGGATAGTTCTCTCTTATTGACCATCAGTCATTGGATGGAATGCAGTACTCATATGCAACTGAGTACCAAAGGCTTCTTGCAATTTTTGCCAAAATGGAGATTGAAAACGTGGATCACGATCCGATATGATTACATCAGGAATACTGTGTCGTTTAACCACATGATGAACATATAATTTGGCCAACTTCTGCATACTCCAAGTCATACGTACTGGGATGAACACTGCTGACTTGGTCAATCTATCTATAATCACCCAAATTGCATTTGTTCCCGACTTCGCCCTTGGAAGTCCTGTCACAAAATTCATTGCAATAGAATCCCATTTCCAGAGCGGAACTTCTAAAGGTTGTAGCAACCCCATTGGTCTATGATGTTCTGCTTTCACCTTTTGGCAGTTTAAACATTGTGCAACAAATTTGGCTACATCCTTCTTCATGCCCTTCCACCAAAAATGTTGACGTAAGTCTTGATACATTTTAATCCCTCCTGGATGCACTGAATGTGGTGTATTATGAGCCTCACTCACAATTTTCTCCTTCAAATCGCTTCGGTCCTTTGGGATACACCACCTCCCATGGAATCGAACACTCCCATCTGAAGCAATATCAAAGTTTTGAGTCTGACCACACAGAACTTTTATAGCCAGCTCGACCATCTTATTATCCTCCATTTGAGCCGCTCTAATGTGATCATAAATTTCAAGCTCAACTTGCATCATTTTCAAATATCTACGCGTCATGCGCCGTCCAAGTACTTCAATTTCCATCCGTGCTAAATCTTGACATAGTTCATCAGCAACTGACATAGAACCCAACTTATGCCTTGGTTTTTGACTCAAGGAATCAGCTACAACATTTGCTTTGCTTTAATGATATACAATTTCGAGATTATAATCCTTCACCAATTCTAACAATCTTCTTTGTCTTAAATTTAATTCTCTTTGGGTGAAGATATATTTCAGACTCCGATGGTCATGAAACATTCTACAATAGGCACCATAAAGATAGTGTCTCGAAATCTTCAAAGCAAACACAACTGCTGCCATCTCCAAGTCATGTGTAGGATAATTCTGTTCGTGAGGTTTTAGTTGTGGTGACGCATAAGCAATAATTCTTTGATTCTGTATTAAGACGCATCCCAATACCTTTTTTGAAGCATCATTATAAACTTTAAAATCATCACCCTCTACTGGTAAAGCCAAGACTGGTGCTAAAGTTAATCGAAATTAGTTAATGGCTTTGCAACCTTCGAAAAATCAAGAACGAATCTTCGGTAATACCCTGCCAAACCCAAAAAGCTTCTTACTTCTGATTGATTGGTAGGTCTTGGCCAATCCGAGATTGCTGCAACTGTAGAAGGATCTACTGAGATACCCTTACCAAAAACTACATGCCCCAAGAAAGCAACCTTTTTCAACCAAAACTCACATTTGGATAACTTACCATATAACTTCCTCGCACGCAGTGTATTTAGTGTCACACGCAAATGTTTTGCATATGTCTTTTTATCTGGAGAATACACCAAGATATCATCGATAAATATTACCACAAACTGATCGAGGTATGGTTGTAAAATTTGATTAATCAATTCCATAAACGCAGCCGGGGCGTTGGTCAATCCAAAGGACGTAACCATAAATTCGTAATGACCGTATCTAGTACGAAACGTTGTCTTAGGAATATTATGCTCTGCAATCCTTAGTTGATAATATCCAGACCTCAAGTTAATCTTGGAGAATATACTTGCACCTCTCAGTTGATCAAATAGATCATCAATCCTCGGAAGAGGAAATTTGTTCTTTACCGTTACTTTATTCAGCCCACGGTAGTCAATAGACAACCTCAAGCTTCCATCTTTCTTTTTCATAAATAAAACTGGAGCTCCCTAAGGCGACGTACTAAGACGAATGTAACCTTTATCCAGTAATTCCTGTAGTTGCAATTTAAGTTCAGCGACTTCTATCGGTGTCATGCGATACGGAGCTCTCGATACTGGCTCGGCGCCTGACACAATATCAATAGTAAAATCCACCTCACGAGCTGGTGGCATACCAGGAATATCATCAGGAAATACATCAGGAAAATCTCGAACCACATGAATATTTTGCAATCGTTGCTCCCCTTGCTTCAAATCTCTTACCTCAGACAGATACACTGGATACCCCTTACGAATAAATGATTGAAATGATAAGGATGAAATTACCTTCATAGAAGGTTGTCTTGCAGATCCTGCATAGTTCACTTGTTCACCCATCGCTCCAACCAACAAAATTGATCTTTTTCGACAATCAAATTGAGCTTGATATGCCATTAACCAATCCATCCCCAGTATCACATCGAAATCGGATAACTCCATACTCAACAAGTTAGTAGCGAAATCAACTCCCCCAATACTAATCGGAATTTACATATAAAGTTCTCGACACTCCAGTACTTCTCCTGATGGAAGTAAAACTTCCGCTACCACTTCTACTGATGAATACAGACCCAATCTTTTAACCAAACATTTAGATATGAACGAGAATGTTGCACCCGAATCAAATAACACAAGAGCTGACAAACCGCAAACAAGAAATATACCCGTTAGAACCTCACCTGGGTGATGATCAGCCTCGGTTTGTGTAACAACATTCATTCTGCCACGCTGGTCAGGTCCTCTGCCTGGCTGCCTAGATGATGAATGTAACTGACTTCGACCACCTCGCCATGATGGTCCTAATCCTCTCACATGTGACAGTGAAGACGGATGCTGCCATGGCCTAAATCTCGGTTCTGGAAACTCCCTTGTAGTTACCGCACTTGGGCATAACCTGGCAATATGACCACTACCACCACACTTAAAACATGTTAATGGAACTTTATCACAACGGGTACCTGAATGACTTATTCCACAACGTCGAAAAACAACCCCCAATTGTTGAAACCTCTCTTGACTCGGTTCTTTAATCGAAATCCCCTTATACGATAGCCCAAACCTGAATATTTGCCACCATTTATTTTTACCCTTTAGTTCTTCCTCCACCTTAGTTTTTCCTTTATCTCGAAACTGATGTTGATACCCCATTTCCTTCTCACTGTTCTTCTGTTTGACTTTCTACTTCTGATAGAATCGAACAGCACGCTCGTAAGCCTCATACAACGAATTGATATCCAACACAGTAAAGCTTCTTGAATCCTCTGCTTCAACCCATCTACAAAATGATCAATTCTATCTCGCTCACATGAAAAGTAGTTAGGAACATACATCTCCAGCTCATTGAACTTTACAAAATAGTCCTCGACTAACATCAAACCCTGCTTCAAGTCCAGCAGCTCTTGCTTCTTTGCTTTTCGAATATGTGACGGTATAAACCTAACTTTTAATTTTGCTTTGAACTCATCCCAAGTCATATCCACTTGGTCCACTTCCGCAGCTTCATCACCTAACCACCACCGATTTGCTCGACCTTCTAAGAAATAAGCCTCGATATTGGCTCATTGATCTGGTAGAACCTGAACAACACGAAATATCTTTTCCATCTTCTCAACCCAGAACTCAAGAACTCCAGGCTCTACGGAACCAGAATATGTTGGTGGGTTATGCCGCATCACAACATCAATAAAACTCCTCTGTTGAGGCATCATCGCAGCCATAAACTGCCGGAAGAAATCCTGACTAGGTGCCTCTATTGGTACATGCTCTGGCACAGGATATTGTAACTCATCAGACAAAGGATCTAGCTCTGGGCCTCGAATAGCCCTATATAAACCATCACCAATTGAGAATTAGACATACTGCCTCTGACTTCCCTGATTCAATATCAACTCAGCAACACAACTAAACCAGGTATAAGATTAAAGCATAAACCACATTAGCAAGAATGCACCCAAAAAACCCAAACCTCGCCAAACCGATTCAATATCATTAATATTTTTAAAACAATTTTAATCACAAGAGCCAAAGTCTACCAAACCTATGCTCTGATACCAACTTGTAACACCCCCGGTTGGCTCATACTGGAAATGCTAACGCCACACTGCATCATAAGATCGCCAGCTCCTACTTCGGGCCCCACAATACAGTGTTAAGGATAAAATTAACCATAAAAGCGCATTATTATATAACAAAATCTGATATTTACAAAACACACTCCTAAACTAAAGGTTTTTCCGGTTGAAAATTTACATATAATACAATAGATCTAAGTTCACTCACTCAGCCCGTCTTTCTATATCCCGAGACGTCCCCTGTCTCGGACGTGCCAAACATACTTGAAACAAATTTTTTTCTTAAAAGCAGTCTAGAATTAAATCCATTTTGAGAACTAACGTGAAATATGCCATTTCTAACCTTTTAAAATAAAGTCTAATTCCTGTCAATCATAAAATACGTGTCATGTCATGCCAATAGTGAAATGATGCAACAAAAATATCAAACTTGAAACCAATGCACATGCACATATATATATACATCCGCCAAAGTGAGCAGCCGGAATAACCTCGGCTCCATAATAATAGGCTCACTGCATCTGTCTAAGTGAGCAGCCGGAATAACCTCGGCCCTGTAATAACAAGCTCACTAGACCATCATCAATAAATAGCCAGAAAAACCTCATCTCAAGAAAGGACCTGATAAACCCATAATAATATAACGGTCATCCGGTCACTTCCATATACCCACCATACGACTCCCACAATCAATACATGGATAGCAGAATGTTGTCGGCATTAATCACAAGATGCCCCATAGTCTGTGGTAGCGAAGATAGGACCTCCACTGACTAGCCCTATCCCGTATAATGTAGTAGAATCCGTGCAACCTGGAATCACCCAAGGAAAACCCGGAAACTCTACTCCTCCTCGCGAGCCCTAACGGGATCATGTTTGGAGTTTGGCATATGATCCTAAACTATTGGTACACCTCACCAGTGGCCAGCCCAATGAGTGGAACAACACCGAACACGAATGATTAGACCAAATACGTCTCAACTACAATGGGTCTAATCCCTGAATAACCATGCGACTAAGTCACCCAGTTGTCCGACTACTATCGTCCACTATCGCCAAATTGTTACGGTACATCGGGGTCGAATATCCTAACCCCAGATAATGCCCTCGCCTAGCACTACCGCACACGACGACTAAACGATATATCCATAAAACATATCCGATAAACCGTGCAATATGTGTGCATCATGTCAAATAAGTGAATTTACCGAAAAGGGCTGGTGAGACAGCTCACCTATCCTCCTTTTCATAAATTCACCAACGCGATCAAATACATATATTAAATATCATAAACCGTGAAGTCTCCCACATGCATACGCACACATATATATATATAAATATATATACATGCACTGACAAAATTATTCACATAATATCACATTAACATATTAATCAGAATCGCACGCAACATGCATACCTAATTTGTTAAAATTAGATTTAATTCCTTACTGCTTACCTCTTATCGACACTCCTTAACTTTTGCAAGTTCACCCAAATCTCTTCCAACGTACATCTGCCCCATTATTTACTCAAATCAGATGAGCTATATGCTTATTCATATGAGCTACATGCTTATTCAAAAGAAAAATTATATAATTAGCTAGTTGGGTTTCAAATTTTTATATTTAGTAGAATACGATATTCTAGCTATAAAACTCTTATACCACATAATATTTATATCGTCCGATTATTAAATAAAAATACTTAAAGATATGAATAAACAGGCAGGTGCAGATTCAGCTCGGATCGATACGAAATTGTCATAATATTATGCTAGGACTACGAATAGGCTATTAGCTAAAGAAATTCGTCGATTAAATAGCCAAATAGTCAGTTATGAATTTTTGAAGAATTTCTAATTTAATATCTTCAATATCTAAATTCATATTAAAATTCATAATTAAATTCAACGTATAACAAGGAATACAATACTGAAATTTGAATTGAAATCGAACGACTAAATCTTTTTCTTTCTTTCTTTTCTTTTTCTTCCTTCTTTCTCCTTCGTGATTCTTCTTCTTTCTTCCTTCACTTCGCAGGTAAGGTTTATTTGTTTTATATATATTTATAATTATATTATTATTATTATTATTATTAACGTAATTATACATTATTATTATCCTTACCATCCTTATCATCTTTATTATATTATTAATATATATATTATATTTTATATTTATTTTTATCGATATTTATTCGTTTAGCAGTCTTTTTAATCATAATCAACAAATAGAATAGGAATAAAATTTATTCTAAAATATTAATTTCTTGATCTCAAAATATTATAAAAATATTTATTTATTATAATAATATTATTTTATACACTCGAAATTTTGGGCATTATAAATTCCATTTACTTTTTACCTACTTTACTTCAATATTAAAATAATATTACTCCGTGTACAACCAAATCTATATAATTTTACCGAACCGAATGAGTAGTAAAGAATGGCGGCTATGACTATGCTGAACAATACTAAATAAACTACCAAGACATTATATAATATTACACAAGATGTGTTACAACTGATTCATGACATGACATAATTATATATACTACACACCTACATGTACGATAACATACTTTTATTTAACATGTTAAATAAAATATATAGTCCCTCCGTTCGGCGACAGATTCCATAAAAGATTATTAATTTTTATTTTTAATAAATTTATTTATTTTAAATATATTTAACCAATATAAATTAATTTATTTTAATTTCTAACATCTTATTCAAAACCTTTTTATTTTTATCTCTCTTCAATAAACAAATATTTTTATCTATATTTAAAATATTTTATTTTTTTATCAAAATAGTTTTAAGTTAATTATAAATAAATAAATATTTTTTTATTTACTAGTATTATATAAAATTTTATTCTTTACAAAATGATATATACATATTGTATATATTTTATTGACATATATTGCTAAAAATATTTAAAACGCCAACAATACTATTCATATACAAAAATAAAAAAATAATACTCCCTCCATCCCAGAACTATAGTCTAGGTTGTGTTCAGCACGGAATTCAAAGAATATTGATATTAAATTAGTAGTGGATAAAAGACTTGTTTGCCCTTGTGAGTGTATTAGTGTAAAAAGTAGTGACAATTGTGCAATAATAATGAAAAAGTAAGGATAGTTTTATAGTGATATGATTATTTATGGAAATGAGACTATTGTTTTGGGACGGAACAAAATAGTAAAGAAGACTGTTGTATTGGGACAAATGGAATATTATTTAGCTACCCTGTCTGGGTCTGTTTGGTTCAAACGAGGGGAATGGTGGGAGGGAATTTAATGAAAGGGAGGGGAGGCGAAAGGTGGGGAGATAATATTAAAATTGTAATAGCGTGTTTGGT